TAAGCATACAAACTATGTGCAAGTCTTTTATGGATTATTCGATATCCCATCTCGAAACATCCATCGACTTGGAACTGTATTTAAGATCACGGCTTTCAAGGTATGTTCCATGATCACCATCTCTATGCGCAACCATACCTTATAACCATAAGTGATCTAGGGATTTTATCTTAAGTGCAATTATAAGATAAATGCTTTCTCTTAAGATAAAGAAATGCCTTATTAATAATATAATTCCAATAGATTTATATTTATAAGTAGAATACGTCCAACTAGATTGGAACGCCGGGTATCCTACTCTAACAAATCTAACCTCGGCTAAATAAATCCTAACAACCTACGGCTAACTAAATATGCTAACATAATACATAATTTCCGAACATCTAATACTAACGCTAACTAATAACTAAATATATAATCATAAACTAACCTATCTTGCTAACGCCTAACTAATTAAATATACTAACACTACTAATCTAACCAACTAACACGTCTAATAATAAGCTAAATAACTTAATAATTACATAAATAATCTAATAATTCGTCTTCTAGAAACTTCGTCCCTCGGCTCGCCCGGCTCGCCTCGTGCCTTTGCGCATCATGCCCACGTACACCTCCACGTGCTTCCTCGCGCGGCCCGTTGCTATCGTCCAGGCTCGACCGGACCACTATCACTAAGCCCAAGCCCATACGTGCTCTCAAGTCCAAGCCCGTGCGTCTACGCTGTATCTGTCCTCGAGAAGCTCGGTCTCGAGCGCGTGTCCTCGTCCTTCTCGCCTTGGTTGATCTTCGCGTGGTGCTCGACCTCTCGAGCTCGACGTTGCGTGCTCTTCATCGACCCGCTGCACTTTGGGTCGTCTGCCTCGTGCGGTCTCGCTCTCGACCCACTGAGCGCCGACCTGCTCGCGCCTGACCCAACGATCATCGACAAACCATTCGACCCCGCTCCCGTTGTGCTTGATCTTCGGGTCTCGATCGTGCACGTCTACGCCAATGTGCGTGTTCTCGTCCTTGCTGTCGGGTCACCTCGCACAAATGCTCGCACCGTTCGAAGTGCACCTTCTTGTGTGCCCTTGCGCACCTCCATGCGCGACGTTCGTTGGTCGGCTCCTTTGCACTCGTTGCGCCTCTCATACGAGCTCGTACCCGTCTCTTAGGCCATGCCTGCGTGATTTTGGCGCTTTCCTCGGCCTTCTCGGGTCGTCTCGGCTCTTGGTTCTTGGCGTGCTCGGACCTCGAAATCCACATCTTCATCACCCTTGGCGTCCCGCGTCCAGCAGTCGCATTCTGCACCTTCTCGCGCCCAGACGCGTCCAGTGGCCACCAGCCGGTCCTCAGGCGCTTCTAGCACCACCAACTATGACCCTGCAGCCACGCCTCGCGCCCCAGTGCACCCAGGTGAACCCGGCCGCGCCCAGACCGACCCAGCTTCACCCGGTATGCACCCAGCCCGTGCCAGCGATCCAGCCCGCGCCCGTGCCGAGCCGCGTTGAATCGTTTTCACGTTTTTCCCGAACTGTTTGACTTATTTTTTACCCATTGACCCCATTTTCCATGCCGAGTTAATTTTTAATGTTTTTAAATGATTTTTCTGAGTCTAACCTTCAAATCTAAGTGTTCCAAATTCTACAAAATTCCACGAACTACTTAGTCGATAATGTTCGACTAAGTATGAATTCTCGTGAGTTATTCTAAGTATTAAGATAATAATATTGATAAATATTATCTTGATTAAATGTAGGTTTGTGAGGAGTTGATACCGCGAGCTGCGACCAGTTATTTGTGTGCTGTCTCCTACCCGATTTCCAGGTGGGTTTATTAAATATCTATGCCTTAAATTCTGTATGATTGTTGGATGGTATGACCAATGTATGCGTGTGAACCATGTAACCTTCGATATGTGCTGTTACGACTTTCGAAACGGTTATACCCGTCATCGTGTGCAGTTATTGACCTTCGACTGTGCGTAATTATAAGCAGTCTCTCTTATCCTAATGACAGGCCATGTCGTTGTGCGCAGTTATCGACCTTCGACATGTACTCCCATTGTTGTGCGCGGTTATCGACCTTCAGTGGCTTTTATAGGTGTGCACATGAGTATTATATGATGATTAGGAGATGAGATATTATAATTGATTCATGTTCATACTGCGACCATACTGTTTGTTATTATAATATTTGATGTATGTGCATAGCGCTCAGTTAGTGGATTGCTCACACACATTATGCATTTCCTCGATTACAGAGCTTTACTTTTATCCTTGGTTTAAGCATCGGAAACTCTTCGCCAGCAATACTTCTCCGATGTTGAGTTTTTGTCGATCGGTTCAGACGAATCGGAGTTATTCTCAACTAGTTCTACCTAGATAGTGACCCACCAAATGTAAATCACACCCATTCCTGAAAGCGGCATGTGTTGTCATGTTTCGCCACATCCTTTTGCTCCAAACTATGATAAATACCCCCACAAAATAGAAATCTCTTCCCAAACGAGCTTTTAGTTTCATATTTCTATAATTTTATTCTCCTCACCTCATTTTTTAATCCATTAGCATTACCACATATTTCCTCCTGTACCACACCAAAAATGGATTCTCTGTCCTCCCCTTTCCTTTCCAAGTCATCAAACAAGCACCCACTCACCCACCCTCCCATTTCCCCTCCCCTTCATATCTCCGCACTCCCTACAGAGCACAGGCCACCGAAGACCACCCAGAAAACCCCCACACTCAAAAACACTTCCCCTTCCCCGCCCCCACCACGGACGTCCGTCCCCGCGGCCCTCCTCAACGCGCTCGACAACCTCGTCAACACGTTCGTGGACCCTCCTCGGAGGCCCTCCGTCGACCCCCGCCACGTCCTCTCCGGCAACTTCGCCCCCGTCGGCGAGCTCCCGCCGACCCCGTGCCGCGTGGTGGAGGGCTCCCTTCCCCCCTCCCTCGACGGCGCCTACGTCCGCAACGGCCCCAACCCGCGGTTCCTCCCCCGCGGGCCCTACCACCTCTTCGACGGTGACGGCATGCTCCACGCCGTCCGCATCCATCGAGGCCGCGCCACCCTCTGCAGCCGCTACGTCGAGACGTACAAGTACCGGGCCGAGCGCGAGGCCGGCTCCCCACTCGTCCCCAACGTCTTCTCCGGCTTCAGCAGCCTCTCTGCCTCCGCCGCCCGCGGCGCCTTGGCCGCCGCCCGGTTCCTCGCCGGCCACTTCAACCCGGCCAACGGCATCGGCGTGGCGAACACCAGCCTCGCTATGATCGGCGGGCGCCTCTACGCGTTGGGCGAATCGGACCTTCCGTACGCGGTCCGAGTTGACTCGCTCACCGGCGATATCCACACAATCGGACGCCACGATTTTGGCGGGAAGCTTGCGATGAGCATGACGGCCCACCCGAAGACGGATCCGGAGACGGGCGAAACCTTCGCCTTCCGCTACGGCCCGATTCCACCGTTCCTGACTTATTTCGCAGTGGGCGCTGGGGGCGAGAAGCGGGCGGACGTCCCTATCTTCTCGATGACGAGCCCGAGCTTTCTTCACGACTTTGCGGTGACAAAGAGGCACGCGATCTTCAACGAGATGCAGATCGGGATGGATTTGCTGGGGATGGTGCGCGGGGGATCGCCGGTGGGGGCGGACGCGGGGAAGGTGCCGAGGATAGGGGTGCTGCGGAGGGACGCGGTCGGGGAGTCGGGGATGCGGTGGTTCGAGGTGCCGGGGTTCAACATGGTGCACGCGATCAGCGCGTGGGACGAGGACGGTGGGGACACGGTGGTGATGGTGGCGCCCAACATACTGTCGGTGGAGCACACGCTGGAGCGGTTGGATCTGATACACGCGTCCATTGAGAAGGTGAGGATTGATCTGAACACGGGTACGGTGTCACGACACCCCGTCTCCACCAGGAACCTCGATTTCGGAGTCATAAATCCTGCCTTCCTTGGGAAAAAACACAGGTACGTTGTATTCGATCGTTTACTTTTGTTTTTCGGGTTTTGCTTTGAATTTGAAGCATATTTATATTTACTTTTAATGGTAGATTTTTTTTTATTTTTATTTTTTTATTATGTTATGTTATATGGCCTAACGGTTAGACGTATTAATATTTATTTAATGAAAGCATTTGTATTTGAAGTATATAATAGAAGACCTATGTTTAATTTAATAATTTGACCGTCTCACTGTCAACCCAATTTTTGCCCAGGCAAAATAGGATAGGCTTTGGATAAATTCACGTTTACTTGTTTAAAACGCACGAAATTATATGAAGAATAAGTAGTTATAGTCATTGTAAAAAACATCTGGGATTTTTTAGGTTTAAAGGAGACATAACTTAATTCAACCTTTTCTATTTTCTCACACTTCATGATTTGCATTTTTTTCCCCCTTTGTTTGGCCAAATGTGACGATTGTGGGACCTAGTTTATCTCTATTTTCTCACACTTGACACTTCATGACTTGCATATATTAATTTTCACTTTTATTTGGGCAAACGTGACTATTTTGGGACCATTTTTATCTTTCTTAATAAATTAGGCATGGCAAATACACGAGCTTAATTTGTAAAATTTTCGTGAGTATCAACTATCAGAAGTGATCACAAATTTGGTTTGTTAATTTTGAAAAGAGTAGTATGGTTGGTGGCTAATGGGTTTATTAAAATAATATTTAAAATAAAATAATTAATATTGATTTGATGTAAAAATATGAGAGAGATGATTTGATGTGATGATTAGTTAAAATAATGTGATTGGATTAATAGTTAATTAATGTTGATATGGTGTGTATGAATTATTGATTGATGTTATTTAATTATATTTATAATATTGATGATAGTGGAATTGAATTAAAAAAAATAGTTGAATTAAAATGTTGAATTTTTTTTGAAAATTCTTGTAAACAAACATGTTTCATTAATCCATTCAAATTGTAATTGTTTAACTGAATGCGCAATAGCCACTAATATATCCTTTCACCTTATCTATATCCTTCAGATACGTGTATGCTGCCATTGGGGACCCGATGCCAAAAGTATCCGGAGTCGTGAAGCTAGACATCTCGGTCTCAGAAGACGACCGCCGTGACTGCATAGTGGCAAGCCGGCTTTTCGGGCCGGGCTGCTTTGGTGGCGAGCCATTCTTTGTAGCCCGAGAGCCCGACAACCCGAATGCTGACGAGGATGATGGGTACGTGGTGACCTACGTGCATAACGAGAAAACGGGGGAGTCAAGATTCCTAGTCATGGATGCCAAGTCTCCTAATCTTCACACGGTAGCTGCCGTCCAGCTGCCCCGCCGGGTGCCCTACGGCTTTCATGGACTGTTCATTAGGGAAAGTGACCTTAAAAAGCTATAATAAATTACACAACTATTATTACCCGACATAGAAGTGTTATACATAAGATGACTGCCCTAATTATTATTCTTGTATATATATATAACTATTATTCTTATATATTTAAACCATTGTGCTAAATGACTCCATTGTAAATGTATGAGCATTATTGTCTGTGTTTTTGTACTATCCGGACCGCTCCTGCCCAGTTCAACCCACAACGGGATTCGGTGCTAATGGGTCCTTTGCAACCAGTCAATAGACAAAATGGTAAAACCTGGTTAAAACTATTTGACCAAATGATTAACAAGTCTCGTTCAAGTTCAACTCGACTAATTTATTTATAGATTTGCTTATACGTATTCATTAGAATAAGAAAAACTAAACAAGAACATGTGAAAACTGAATATGAAGTAAGACAAAATCGATTCATATTAGGCAAACTTTTACTTTTGCTTTTCATTCTCACCTTTTGTCAGCTGTAGCATACAACATTCTCATTGCACACTCTCTGTTTCTAAATCTGATATGTGGCGGCTATCAACAGCTAACTATAAGGTTCATGGAATACCCAGAACGATGTTCGACCACTGTCGGTCTTGCTGCTGTCCTGCTCGACCGGTTGGCTCCCTTAGTTTGGTCGACCGATTAACTGGGTTTATTTTACCAGGTATGGTATTCCATATCATTTGGTTCACCCCACTCTGGTCGAGTTATAATAACTAGATCTAAGAGTAGATCTGTCCTTGGTGTTAGTTGGAGCGTTTTCCAGCTTTTCGTTTTTCGGCTTGTCCATCCTTGAATTCTTCTATTTGATTGTACCATATCCTTTCGACTAGACATCTATTCTTTCTGTACTTTGCCATCAAATTTTGTTTTGAATTTTGAAATTTGAATTATTTCCGCCAATCTGTCATATCCTGTCAATCAATACGTCTAGCTAACGTCACCTCCCTGTGAATCGTGTTGCCTCGTACTTTTCACCCTAGGCCCTCCAACCACTAAGGGCAGAACGTACAGGTTGGCGTTCACGGTTACGCCTTCCAACATAACTGGTACACCTCGAATATATTTTGAACACCTCAGACGTTCACCATTGGCTACACAAACGTCAAACGGCTCGACCTTAGCAGTAGGTAATCTGAACTTTCGAGACAATGAGACATTTATAAAATTGTGTGACGACCTGTTGTCACTAGCACCACGATGCACGGGTCTCGAGCCCACGTCGGCAACCTCATGGCTCGGGGTCCTTTGGTGCTGGCCATGGTGTGCGCCGAAATCTTTAAGTCAGCCTCATGAACTTCGATCTCCGGAATAGGTTCATCCTCTTCTGGCTCCTCGTCGTCAGGCTCAACCAGCTCGATCATGAGCGCCTGCTTGCACTGGTGTCCCGGTGTGAACTTCTCATCATAGTTGAAGCAAAGACCCTTCTCGCATTGGTGTTTCATCTCCTCGTAGGTCAATTTTCTAATTCTTGGTGGCGCTGGCCTAGGATTGCCCGACGATAACCCGCTCATGCCCCGCTTGACAGTTGATGTGATCGGCCCCGCTCAGCGTGGTTCATAGAATCGCGGTTCTCCCTGTGCTACTCTTCGCACAACTGCCAAGTGATCGTCCTTCATGCGCGCGGCTCCATTGCATGCCGCATCGTCTAGGGTTTCTCCAGACGAAGCACAACCGCGAGATCGGGCTTCAGTCCACCCACAAACACCCCAACAACTGCTCCTTCTGTCCAGTCTTGTACGCTGCTCGGCAATCGCTCAAACTCCTTCTGGTAATCTCGAAGGCTACCTGTTTGGCGTACAAGAGACAACGCCTCGTCATAATCTATATTTATATAATGGACCAATCCTTATTGCCGTAATTGGAATGATTTTAGGCGGGAATTTTTTTCATCTATGTTTGATATTTAAATAATATTTATTTATTAACAAATCTTATACATGAAAATATAATCCCCTCTATATATAATTTCAGAAGCCTACGTGGCAAACTCTCATGCTTCATAATCCTGTTTGGAAAAAAATCATGTTTTGGAGTTAGATTTGGATATAAATTAATATTTGTATTAATTGTATTTTAATATCATTTCCTATTATAACCATTGATTTGCAAATATATTTTAAAAGTTGATAACTTTTGTGTTTCTTATCGATTTTACATATATAATATATCAAATTAATCATCTTTTGATGAACTTCGATTTGACATCCATAATATATATATAAAATAAATAAATTATATTTATCTTTATAATAATAATGAAATTATTTATTAAAATTAATTATAAAATAAAATTATTTATCAATTAATATATTTATGTTTAATGTAGTTATTTGTTATAAGGTAGAAAATTTATTATAATATAACACATATAAGTGGCACAATTAACATGTGTCATACAAAAATATATTAATAATATATATTCCCTCCTATTTTTATTATTTGTCACTTTGGCTTAGTTGATCATTGATAAAATAAATGTCGTTTTAAATATTTTGTTCATATTTTTTGTTTTTAACCCTCCATCTAATACACACTGTCTCTTCATATCCCATCTCCATCGTTTCCCATAACATCCATTAAATAGAGTTAATATTGTCAAGAAAAAAAAATCTTAATTAGTGAGTTGCATGTGAATTGATATTATGAAGTCTGTTTTGAATTATATATATATATATATATATATATATGTATATATAGATATATTCTTATAAATAAAATTTAAATTTATTTATCAAACTGTATTAAATTATATCATTAAAACTATAAATTATACTATAAAGTAATAGAAATTGGTATGTATTCTTTTAAAAATAATATTTATTTCAAATCTAATTGGTATGTTGTCAATGTAATAGAAATAAATAATTATTTATCTAAATTCTAAAATTACATATAAAGTTAAAAAACTGTGAAGCACGACTGATACGACACTGGATGTATTAGACATCTAATTAAAAAATTAATCTATTTTGCTTAATATTAAATAAACATATTCTACACTTATGCATTTACATATCACCATATTATTTCTATTTATTTAAGATATATATTTTTGTACTTATGCAATAGTAAATAATATCGATATTTTTATATGATATAAGTAAAAAAAATTCAACACGGGTTGACATTTTCATTTAATATACGGGTGTTTAATTTTTTATGATTAAAAAAATATAATTTGACAATTTAATTAAAACTCAAAGTAATATCTTATATAAAATTAAATTATTTTAGATTTTAAAAAATAAAAAATTTAATATTTTCTATAATTTGACAATTTAATTAAAACTCAAAGTAATATCTTATATAAAATTAAATTATTTTAGTTTTTAAAAAATAAAAAATTTAATATTTTCTACAAAAGCTTTCTAATTCAACACCCGTGTAATACACGGGTATTGTACTAGTTAATTTTTATACACTCAATGATTATTACCCATTAACTACAAATTGGCTTAAATTAAAATTTTGACCGTAGATTTGTTAGATATATTTTCAATAAGATCTTATATTAATTTAATAATAATTTATTGACACAATTCAAAAAATTATTATGGAAATTGATTTGATTAAATATATTAACATTTATGGCTGTAGGTATTAGTTTAATTAATTATATTTACTATTTAGAAGTACTTAAAATATTTAATAAAATAATCAGAATAACTATGTCTAAATCATAATAACTTAATAAATAATTTAAAATATTAATAAAAGTTTCTAAAATATAGTCAATTTAAATATAAATGGTGCATCCCTATTGAATATATCATATGCAGTGATAATACTATTGAAAATTTAAATAATATACTAATAAAAATAAAATTTGATGGTCAGGTGCAATTCAGAATTATAAATTTCACCTTAGAAGTATCTATATACATTAAAAAACTATTCAATGTTTAAAAATATATTTTGTTTCTTATATACTATTTTATAAATGAAAAATAAGTTAATAAAAAATCAATGTATAATAATTTAAACTCGTACGAATCCCGTGCGATGAACGGGTAAGAAATATTCTTTAATATTTATAAATTAAAAATATTCATTAAATAATATTTATAAATTAAAAATATGGAATCGATATGTAATACAACTTACCTATATTAATATGTTGAAAATGTTATATGAAATATAAATGGTGCAAAATTACATTAAATATGTTTATTTAAAATTGGTACACGACCTGTACGGTGCAAGTAACTAATAATAAATTACATATATTCATTTCGAAATAGGTGTCATTTTATAATTTTTATTCAAATTCGATTTGACTACAATGTGATTCAAGTAATACAAACCTTTATGTATGTATATATATATATACAAAATAATTTGATATGTTCCACGCACATTTACAAACTATAGTATTCTCCAAATTTTCTCTCATTAATATCGAGTAAAATGCTTAGCAATATAAAAAAAAATTGAGATAAAATACAAAAAAAAATTTTCTCTCCATTTTTTTTACCATAAGCAGGTATATTGGATCAATATATAGTATACCAAATAATTCGATTTCATACTTTATCGATAAAATACAAAAAATGATATTCAGTTTTACCACAAAATTATTTGCCCAACGTACAAAACAAAATCGACACCCACGTTTTTTATAGATAAAAATAAAAAAGACCCAAAAAACAGTTATTAAAAAATAATTAAATCGAAGATTCCATTAATACAATTATTTTAAAATAATTTTATAAAAAAGTATGATTGAATAAATCAACCAAATTTACTCGACTGTGTAATTAAGTATCTTAAAAATGTAAATTTTTATGGTCTAATTATTTTCTTTATTATCTAAAATTTGAGTAATTAAATATACAAAAAATAAATAACAATTATTAAATAATATTAAAATAAAAATTGTCATTAACACAATAGTTTTGAATAGTTTTTTGCAAATCGCATAATGGATTATTTTAATCAATATTTTCATAATTCTAGTAATTATTTGTAGATTG